GGAAAGGTTAACAACTAAAGAATAAAAAGGAGAGAGATCGGCGGATTATTCCAAACAAACCCTCAAACACACACACACTCTCTCTCACACACGCCGCTAAACGACAAGATGGCGACCGGAAGCACTTACCTCATCATTATTATTTCTGAGACTGAGAAAGGGAAAATATTTCTGCGGGGCGAGCGATGAATAAAACCCCTCCTACTGACAGAAAAAAACACTGCATATATTTACGCAGAGAGCACCGTTTAGTTTGGTGAAGAGAGCAGGTTACGGATGCTGTGCAGCGCTGATCCGGGGAGGATGTTGTATGAAGCGCCAAATTACTGTTACTGCTCTCCAGCAGCCTGCAGTACCGACACCCACCGAGCGGGGCACCACTGAGCAAAAGACAACTACAAACCGAATACCGCAGGCCTGCCGTTAGAGCTGGGTGGTGCTGATGGAATGCAACATCACGATATAATTCCCAAACGTACATAGCTTAGGTGTCAGTCCACACGATTTACTCATATACAATACATTTTTACGCATTTTTACTGAGGTACATGGCCATATAAGACTGGAACATGGGAAATGTAGTCTAACACAGGTTCCCTGCAAACGCTGGCCATTAATTGTGTTATTATTAGGTTAGTTTTTATTTTCTATTTCTTTAGATTTACTTGCCCAAAAGTCATCTGATCAGAAGAAGATTCAACATAAGCACATTCATTTATGCAAAATTATTCTGTCGTGCACATGCTGTACACAGACAAAACTGGTGTCTCCTCATGTAAGAAATGGGCCAATCCGAGAGTCAGAATTGTGCTGTAATAATCATATGTTTTTGTGTGAGAGACTGTTTAGCTGCTTACCTGTCAAATAAAGTTTAGATAAATTTCTGATTCTGTATGAGGGATGACACACAATAAAAAAAATAAATAAATAATAAATTGCTGTTGTTGCTGCAGATTTTAATGGTAAAAATGTTCCAGATGTTTATACAGTGTAAAGCTGTGAATGTAAGGTTTACTGTCTGCAGACGTTGACACCCATGAAAAATATCATGGTATCAGATGTCAGCCTGAAATCAAAATTGACCTTATTATCTGCGGTTAGGCAGAGCTGCGAGGTTGCTAGCTAGAATAGGTTAAAAATAACATGTACTGAGACCCAGCAGCTGTCATATTGAGATAAGCATTGCTTATAAGCTGTGAAGAAAAAAAAAATAGGCTCTGAAATATTTAGCCTAGATTATGTTCATGTTTTACAGATGACCAATATGATTAGCCTAAATAATTGCCACACTTAGCGTGTTGCACACAATCATTATTTACCTGATGTCATTATAAAATATTTCCATTTTTTCTCAAATAAATGTCCATTTTATATTTAATGTATGTTTTTAAAAACATTTCAGTTCCCTAAGAATATTTTTCCAAGCTTCCATTGAATTTTAAAGTTCCGCTCCATAGCTCAGCACAGAAAAATGGTTATGACTGTTCAGACGTAATTTGTACACAGTATAAGCGTCCCTCATTAAATGTTTTTTACTTCAGTTTTTCAGGGTGGAACATAACAAAAGCCTCAGAGCTCCTACACAGTACTTGATTTTTCTGCTTAAATAGTCACTGAGCAATGAAAAAGCATGTGTGTCAGATAACCAGAGCTTTTTTGTTTTCTAATTTATTTGATTTTCTTTGTCAGAAACATGCTTTAGAAACCTGTATAAAAGTCTAAATCAGAGTAACCCACTCCCACATTTTTATAAATACTAACAGCACTCTGCCGGCTCTAATATTACATTGTGATGAATCAGCTAGTGCAGAAGGCAATCATTGTCACTGACACTGGTAATTATACCACCTGGGCATTTCTAACAAGCCACAAAACTGCAACTGGCTCATTGCTTGTAACTAGCGACTGATGGAGAAGACAAAGTTAACATTACAACAAAGTCTTTGTAATGCGCTCAGTATCCAAGGCTAATACAAAAATACTCTGCTTTTTTCTTTTTCACTTTCACAGGCAATTAAGTAACAGTTCAATTGTGTGTGAAATAGGTCTGACAACCCACATCACACACACACACACACACACACACAGAGAGAGAAAGGAACCACATGAAACAAGTGAATTGTTGATTATGCTCAGTAACACTGGACCCTTTACTTGAGATAAAAATCTGTGTAAAACAAAGTGCTCATGTTGCAGAACTGATGCAGGGCCCCAGTAGAAAGTTACCAGGTACACTGAAAAATCATAGCATATTATAGCAAGGATAAGCAGCTTAAATGTAGGCACTAATTATGTAATTATTTTGTAAGTATATCATAGAACTATTTTCAGATATTTTTATTTATTTTAAGTAATTTTGGAAGGCTTAGCATTAGCAGATAATTTGCTTTTTTCAAGAAATCATGCTTAAAGGAAGTAAAATTATCTTGCAGTGCTAGTGAGATCATTTCACTTCATAAGACAACTTCGAGTATAAAATCTATAAGAAAACTCTTATAATGTTTTTACATCAGCCTCATAATGTGAAATATTAGACATACTGCCTAAATTTAAAGGACACTTACTGAGTTAAAAGTGGTGGTGATAGGAACCAGACACCAAAAGAGTTTAATGACTCTAAAAACTACCTCATAAAAGCTAATATAGAAAATTGTTGTGAATGTTTTGCCAGGTGCCTGAGACAACATTTGACACTTGTTTTGTAATTTATTTATTTAAAATCCATTCATTGTAGAGAGGTGCTGTAAGCCATATTTACCATTTTTACCACTATTATCAACATAACATTTAAAATGTTTAGCTTACCCAGATAGCCTTTTTTAGTGTAATTTCATTGCAAGGTAAAAAAAGAGAAACATTAAAAAGTTTCCACCAACATGAGTTCCACAGTGGAACTGAGGACAGTGAGTCTGAGCTGAGCAGTAAATCCTGTCTCACCACATCTCCGGTTATTTCGTTCAGAAGATGAAAATGGCTGTGTTGTTTTCAATATGCTCCCTTCCACAAACAGCAGGGCTGATAGCTATGGCTCTGTTTTTGCCACTCATATTGTTACCTAGAAAGTTTAGAAGAACAAGAACCACAATTTTAATGCGATTTACATGTTTATTTTGGGGTATTCTCTGTACAGACTAGCAGAGTAAATGCTGTTCATCAGCCTATTCTGATCGTATGAGACTCATCTAAGCAGTATCCTAGTTACATGATAGTAATACATACATTATTGTAAAAATATCTCACAATTTTTTAGTCATTTATGCATAATGGCTGAAAAATGCTACTGTTTTTGGATTGTTTAATTCTCAAAATTTATTGGAGATGACTGACTTTAGGGCATGGTTGACACACTTACCCTGCATTGAGAAGAGTGTCACATAGGAATGACTGATTAACATCTGCTGATGTTTTTCTACTGCAAACCTGGATCAGAATGATGTGGGTCTGATGGAAGATACACTGTATGTCCAAAAGTGTCCAATTAGTGAGCTCAGCTACATTAAGGTGCACCCATTGCCGACACAGAGGATGGAGTAATACCTCTCCATCCAATACCTTTGGGATGAATTGGAGCGGCGTTTGTGATCCAGAACTAACCATCCACCATCAGTACCTGAACTCACTAATGCTCTTCTGGCTGGATGCAATCAAATCCTCACAGCAATGTTTCATTATCCAGTGTAAAGCCTTTCCAGAAGAGTGAAGGCTGTTACTACAGCAAGGGAGGACAATCTCAATAGATTTCGGAAAAACACTGGATGAGCAGGCGTCTACAAACTTTTGAACATATAGAGTAACAAACTGAAACTTTATAAGTGATACTAGTGCTTGGTAGAACAGCAAGCCCTGTATTATAGCAACAGCATAACAAAGTAACATTCCTAAAGCACTTTTTGAAAAGCAAGTGCTTATTGAAAAAACATCATTTGTCTGTCCTGGTGGCTGCTGGACTCAAGATGACAAAAAGCTAGTTTGTTTAATGGAATTCAGAACTTTCAGTTCAGCTGTGAAATATAAGGATCTTGCAGGTTACTTGGTTAAGGACTGTGGATGCACATATAAACAGGATTTTTCAGCTGCCTTTTTATATGCAATGTTTCAAGAAATTTACTGAACCATTATATATGTCACAGACAAAAGAATATTTGTAAACTGTATCAAGATAAGGTACCAGTCAAAAGTTTGGGCACACAAACTCAGAAGATTTTAGAAATTACCCCCCTGTGCCTTGACGCTGTTGATAATTCTCTTGAGTAGCTTAATGAGGAGCCACCTCAGCTGATCTTCCAACAGGGCTAAAGAAGATACACTGAGACACTGTTGTTGCCAAAACCCACTCAGTGGTGTAATTTTAAAATACAGACATTATTATTTATTATTATTTTTTGACTGCACCATAAAAAGGTCTTAAAAAAGTAAATATGCTACAACAAAAATCTGTCTTATGTTCTCTTAACTTATTTTAAGTTCAGTTAACTCAAAATTTTATTGCAAAACACCAATTTATTATAGTGTACAGCTCTTAACATCATTCTAAAGACATCTAAAATTTCTATGTTGTACTTTTTTTTTTACTAAAAATTAGAAATCCGTAAAGTTGTAAAGTAGTAGCATCATAATAGAATCATTTTGCACATTTATCTGCAGCAATTTTTAAAATTTTATTGAACACAGTGATTTTACTGATAAAGTTATACTAAAACTGAACATCCAGAATGTTTCATTTTTTGTGTTGGGAATAAATTTATACACAGACATTGACTTCACTGTTTGTATTAGTCTTAAGAATTAATTTGTCCTCAAAATGATAAAAAATGTATGCTGTTAGGTCCAAACGTTGGCTTGTTATTGTATATAATGAATATAATTTACCCATTCTTTCTCTCAACATGTTAAAAACAGCCAAAAAGATCAATAAATGTAATTTTCTAACACCACAAACTGGGGAATTTAAACAGCCTCAGTGTTTGCCCTCCTAACACTTTCTCCGCTTCTATGTACGCAAAAGCAATCAATAAAACGAAGGATCACTGCAGTGTGTTGGAGGACAGTGGAGGGGGAGGCGTCTCCCACATTACACACAGGATTTAGTTTAGCAGGAATCTTGCGATGACAGAGTTGGGATCAGACCTCAGAGAAACGGTAAGTATGTATGTTTACTAGAAGTTTTGTTTGGCATTTGAATGGAATCGCCTTGAATCGTCTTTCTCAATAATACTGCACTCACGGAAAAACCTTTTTCAAATATTTGCTGGAATCAATATGTATCTGTTCAAAGTTCATGTAATACACAGAGAAGCTTAGTTCTAGGAATCCTGCAGAGCATTACTCAGTGTAACTTGTATAAAAATATAAACCAAAATCTAAAACATTTTACACATGGAGCTTTATCATTTATGCTTTCATTTGAAGTGCATTACTACATTGCAGTAATAATATAAGAATGTTAACAATGACATAACAAGATAAGCTTATTACAGTTAAGCAGTAAACCTGTTTTAGACAAAACAGGCTATGATTTTTTTTTCATTTTTATAATATGTAAGTGTAAAATGTAGTGATGAACAATATTTTCACTCTAAATCTACAAAAAGTGGAATTAGGCTACTTTTATGACAATGTTAATACCTCAGTACTTGTAAGTACCTTAGTTTTGTTAGTTATCACAGTTTGACATGAAATATTGAGATTTAGATATGTTGCCACAGGTGAATAACTTTTACAATGAAAAATACTGATTTCGTTATTTTGCTTAATACACCTGTTGGAATTTCTGTTTATGTATTATTTCATGCTGCACATTTTATTCCTCTCTAAATCTCCAAATTTAACATTAATTCAATATGTTAGTAAAGTAAATTGCAATATTCTTCTTGTGTTTATTTTCAAATACCTTTATGCCTTGCACTTTTAGAAATGTTCAACAGTACGGTACCACTGAGTGCAGTGGTAATCTACACCAGTTACAGTTTCTATGACACTGTCCTGTTTGTATTACAATTTATACATCTAGTGCAGCAAATTCAGGAAACTCACGAAATCATTTAGACACAACAGCAAAAAAAGAAGAAATATGAATAATAATCCTTGTCTGTGAAGACTTTGCCTTTCAGCAGCACTAACTTTTGATAACAGTGATAAAAAACTAAAGTACAATCTTTGTTACAGCAGAACATACGTTTTGTTTTTAGATATCATTGTTATATACAAGCAAAACTGATGTCAGTGGAGTTATTAGTAAAGCCATAACATCACTGACCACTGTAACATTACTGATGACACTGACAAATATGGCTTTTTCTAAAATATAGTCTGCTACCATTTAGTTTCAGTCACATACTATATACAAACAATATACAGAAATGTTGTATTCATGTTGTTATTTTACTCAAATTTTAAAATAATTTTGCTTAACACCACTGACACAAATATTTGCAACATATGAAACTGTCAGTAGTAAAACCAAAGTTATCAGAAATATGAGAAGAAATCTCATTATCCATGCACTTCTCAGAGTTAATTATACTTCTTTTGAGTTTTCCATGTAAGCGGTAGTTCAAAAAGATCTTCTTGTGTTTTTTTTAAATAACACAATATACTTACCTTTGTAACACCACTGACAAAAACTCTTGGGACAGGATTTATTACCACAATTAAGATTTTACACAGGACAGACAGTAATTGTTAATTTATTTAGAAAAAAAAAAACAAATTTAACAAATAAAAAATGTATTTTTTATATGAAATTTATACTTTAGCATCGTTGAAGTCACTCCAATGACTTGCTGTTTTTCAGGATAAATAAAAATCACAAAAAGAACAATTATTATAGTTTATTTACTGGTTATTTAGCATTAGAATAAAGAAGCATCGATTAGCTTTATGATTATTTTTATAGTTTCAAAGTTGTGAGACTGCACTTGCCATGGCAAAGCTAGAATGATGCAACTAAAGTAGATTCGTAGCATTTTATGGTGTGATATTCCTACCAATTAATCAACTGAGCATGTCATAAACAAATGCTCAATAAAAGCTGGACAAAATGGTTGTAAACAAATATACATTACATAATTTCACTGTCATGTATATTTCAGGACCTGTGGAAGCCCCTATGGAGATGGCAATCTTCAACAGGACTCTTTATGCCACCTGTGAAGTAGCTCCTGACCGTAGTCTACCCATCGGTCAACCTGAAATATATGGACAAGTTCTCTTCAAACAAATCTTTCCAGCAGGCACTGTGCAAGTGATGGTCAATCTTCGTGGCTTGCCCATTGATGATCATCAGAAACGTGCCATTCATTTCCATCAGTATGGAGATATGAGCCAAGGGTGCATTACTACTGGTCCACACTACAACCCCCTCAGTGTTGACCATCCTGCTCACCCTGGAGACCTAGGCAACTTTGTCTCCAGCAATGGAACCATAAGGAGATATATGAAAGTTGATGGGGCTACACTTTTTGGAGGTCAGTCCATTCTGGGACATGCTGTGGTGGTCCATGAGAAGGAGGACGATCTAGGATTAGGGCCGGATGAGGAGAGCAAACGAAGTGGCAATGCAGGAAGAAGGATTGCTGGATGTGTCATTGGCATCTGCTCTCCAAGCCTGTGGCAAAAGAACACGGAACTCACCAAGGATGTGGAGGAGGAGAAACAGTGATGGGCAGAACAAAGAAGTACGAAGAGAGAGAGTCAGTGATGGAGAAAGATGAGGGAGGAAATGTAAGATAAGATAAGGCCACAAGAAGTTTAGAAGATCAAGAACCATGATTTCAATGTGATTGCCAGGCTCTACTGTGGGCGTACACTCTTAAAAAGATGGTGCTTCAAGGGTTCTTCAGTGAAGAAAATGGTTCTATGTAGAACCATGATCACTGAAAGAGCCTTTTTCATTATTAAAAGATGCTTCGCATCATGAAATCATTCTTCAGATTAATGTAGGATGTGCTGCAGGTGATTCTATACAAAACCATTTTGAAAAGGGTTCTATATTGCACCAAAAAGGGTTCTGCTTCTGTTATGATATCATCCTTGTAACAGTAGAAGAACCCTTTTGGTGCCATATAGAACCCTGTCTAAAAGGTTCTATATAGACCCATTTCATGATGTGAGGAATCCTTTAATCATGAAAAGGGTTCTTTGTGTGTTCATGGTTCTGTATAGAACCTTTTTCTTTACCGAAGAACCCTTGAAGAACCATCATTTTTAAGAGTGTACTCTGTTGTCACTTGCAGAATTTGTCCTCTGTCAGCCTTTAGTGATTATAATGAATATTATATTGAATTATTGAATATAAAATGTTTAAAATGTGTCATAGAAAACTCATGCTGTTCAACAAAGCATTAGCCGCATTATATTTTGCTAAATGTTTTATACATACATTGATGACTGTCTTAATCTAAGGTATCAAAATATGTGAACACAAACAAAACCTGATCATTTTTACACATCTCTACCCTATAATCTAACATTTCAAGAGGACTATAAATAAAAGAAACAGATCAGTATTCCAGGAAGAGTTTTTTTTTTTACAACATTATCATTACAGTTTTCTCTAACACTGCACTTGCAAAAGGCCAAATATGATTTGTTTTAAAGATGAGAGACAGACAATTCATGAATCTAAAAAGTTCCTTTTTCTTATGTGCAGACAAGGCAGCAGTAGCAGAACGTTAGCAGAATAAAGATGGCCTGTATAACGAATGTTATGAAACTGAGACATTTATTGAGCAGTGTGCTCCCTCATAAAACACATTTTTAAAATTGACATTTATTTAAGGTGTTATTCAACAAGAAAATGTGAAAAAGTAATTGACCCCTAAATCACTCAAGAAACAAATGAACCAACTTTAAATGACAATGAGATTCAGGTATTAAATTATGTGAACACAAACAAAACCTGATAATTTTTACACATCTCAATATATTACCTCACATTTCAAGAGGACTATAGATAAAAGAAACATCAGTATTTTGGTAAGTGTTTTTTATATAACTTTAGCATTATTGAGTTTCCTCCAAAACTGCACTTGCAAAAGGCCAAGTCTGATGCTGACTGAGCACAGCCCGACTGTTGAACGTAAGCCTCACTCATATTGAAGATTTTACAAGCCCACTTGGCTATGATTAATGGAAAATCCAAAAGAGTTATAAAAAAGGCTGCTGATATCTTTCAGTCTGGAAGGGGTTACAAAACCATTTCTAAGGTTCTAGGACATCACTGAACCACAGTGAGGGCCACTATCTACAAACTGAGAATCCTAGGAATGCTGGTGTATCTTCCAAGAAGCGGACAGCTTTCCAAAATTTCAAATCATTTATGAGGTCATTAAATGTCTCTTGCACAGACATGAAAGTGAATTAAACTTCATTTACAGTATTGCTACCAGACCTATCAAGAAAGATATCTAATGAGTTCCCAAAAACACTCATGTTACCATCCAAACAGGGATTTATACAACAGTTAGTTTCGGATATGCAAGAAGCGTTCTAACCGCGCTGATATTTCGCCATAATATCATGGGTTTTTCACAAACATTGTATCATTCTGCTACGACCCCGTTGCTAAGCAACGAGTTTGACAGCTGTAGGAGACACTCAAGCCATTTGAACGTTTTTACTTCTTACTTCGCGAACAAACAGAAAATGGACACTTGATCAGATTCTGAAGATGAGACCACACTAAATTTCCGAAACTGTCATTACCGCTGATCAAGCTTTTCAGTGGGCAGCTGAGACAGAAGAACACCTAAACAACCTGCCTTCGGCTTGTGTCTGTGACCAAATCACAGCCGTGATGTTATTTCGCAAAAACACACTCCCTCTCGTGTTCTATTACTTAATTGAACAACAAGCTCCAATGTACAAAACTGTGATTATACAGGCTATGCAGCCTAATGGCTTATATAGAGCTTCAACTCTATATAAGAGCTCCAGAATCCAGTAAAAATCCCTGTTTTAACAATAACAAAAACTTAGTTAAACAAATTATTAGCAACCCCATACTGCCGTTTGTTTGGTCGTTGTTCAAAATAACCACATTATACAAAGTGAAACTTCCTTGCAGAGATCGTTTGAGTCAGGTTGAAAGTACTGAGGTGAAATCAGAAGTATTGCATCAGGGGAGGGCGCTCAAGAGTGTTGAGCCAGAGTTGACCCACAAGCTCTATTCTTGGGTTCAAGACTTAGGTAATCGCACTGAAACAGATCTTGAATGATGACCACATAAAACGCAGTTATTCTACATGCTGACCAAGAGGGCACTTCTATACTCTGAGGGCAAAGGGGCAAAGGTTCAAGCGCCCTCTGGGGTCTACCTGTGCATGTGCCTGCCAAAGGTTTCAGGAAAATATCCAAGGAGCTGCAGGTCTCTCCAGCCTCAGCTAAGGTCAGTGTTCAAGACTCCACAGTAAGAAAGGGACTGGGTGAAAGAGGCAGTCATGGAAGAGTAACAACACTGTGAAGCAAACAACACTGCTAACCAAAAGAAACATCAATAATCATCTCACATCTGCAAAAAAGGCATCTTGACAATCTATGAGCCTCTTATGATAATGTAATATGGACAGGCTAGTCTCAAGTGTAACTTTTCGCTCCCTTTATATCTGCCATAAAAGTTCTGCATTTCACATTAGGAATAACATACATTCAACATTCAAACATGGTGGTGGTAGTGGGCAGGTGTGGGGATTATTTGTTGCCTCAGAACTTGGACAACTTGCTATTACTAAAGAAACTATGGATTCTGTTCTTTATAAGAGAATTCCCAAGTAGACTGTTCATCTATCCACAAGCTGAAGCTAACACACAATCAGGTTATGCAGCAAGATGATGGTCCAAAACAGAAAAGCTAGTTCAGATCTGAATGGCTAAAAGGAAACCAAATTAATGTTTTGGCCTTGTCAAAGTCCTGACTTAGACCCACTAAAGACGCTGGGGCAGAGCCTCAAACGAGCAGGTCATGTATGAAAACCTACAAAAATGTCAGATTTAATCCCTTAAAATCCCAGGCTTATTATATACTAAGGCTTATTATTCATCAATTGTAGCGACTTCAATGCAAACTGGTTGAGCTGTTCTTAGGTTATAGGAGTGTGTAATAAACGTTTGGTCCCGCCGGTGTGCCCTGGCCATTTAAGGGGTAAAAGCAGCTGTGCAAAGAAGTGTGGGAGATCAAATTAAAGGAAATGTTAGCTGCAGTTATTGCTGCTAGAGGTCATGAAACAAGTTCTTAATTTCAAGAAGGGCATTACTTTTTGACATGGGTGATTTGCATGTTACTCCTTGAAATAATGGAAATAATAATATTAAAAATGTGCTTTATGTTTGAAAACGTTCTCTTTGCCTAATATTACATTTTATTGAAAGATTTAAAAGCATTCACTGTGGCAAATATGCAGTAACTGAGAATATTTTTACAACACAGTATTATGGCTACATACACATTCTAGGACAACAGGATTCTATATAGTACCAAAAAAGGGTTCTTAGGCTTGTAACAATAGTATAACCCTTTTTGGTGCTAGACCCTTTTCAAAATGATTCTTTAATCAATCTAGAATCATCTACAGCATATTCTCTGTCAATCTGAACAACCCTTTCACAATGCAAAGAACCCTATAATCATGCAAAGGGTTCTTTGAGTGTTCATGATTCTATATGAAACCTTTTTCTTTACTAAAGAACCCTTGAAGAACCATCTTTTTTAAGAATGTAGTTTAACTTTTTAATTTAACTCTTTTCAGCAAAAGAGATTCATCACGGCAGCACTTTCACCCATTGGACAAAATGTCTCACCATTTTCTTATGAAATATATAACAAAGACATGAAAAAAGACATATTTCAACCTCCTGATAGGAATCATCAGTCAAGCCTGTTCCTTCCTTATGAGAAACGGAAAGACTGTTATTGCTACCTTGTTGTGTAAAAATCACTATATGCTATATGTCGTAAAGTTTGCAGACACCTGCTCATCTAACATCTGTTCTGAAATCAAAGGTATTAATAGGGCATTTGGGTCTTTGCTGTTGTAACAGTCTCTGCTTTTCTAGGAAGCCTTTACACTAGAACATTAGAACATTGCTCTGAGAATGTGATTGCATTTAGCTATAAGAGCATTAGTGAGGTCAGGTACTGATGTTGGATGATTAGTTCTGGATAACAAACTCTACTCCAGTTCATTCCTAAGGTATTTGATGGAGCTCCATCAATCCAGAGAATGCAGTTCTACTGCTTCACAGCTCAAAGCTGGGGGGCTTTATACCCCTCTATCTGATGCTTGGCACTGGGCAGGGTGACCTTAGGCTCCTGTGCAGCTGCATATGTAGCTAATTTCTGTAATTAAAAGGGGACTTTTGGACACACTGTATATAATACTTTTGTAAAGCACTATAGTATAATTTAATGAATGGGATTTTTGGTCAGTTCTCTCTTAACATTGTTCTGTAGCATTGTCTTGAGCAACATAAAGAACTTTGTCAGCAAGGACAACATGTGAGCCACCTAAGTTTAGATGAACTCAGCCAATGGCAGAAACCTACTTTAAGATTTATGTATCCCTACAAACACACACACACAAACACACACACACACACACACACACATGCCCACAGCACTTCAGTTCTCAGTCTATAAACAAATCAAATGGGCTATAAATAAAGGCATAAAATGCAATGTCCCGAGCGCTTCTGCGTAAGGCCTCTTCGGGACATTGCCCATGTGGGCAGCACAACAAAAATAAAGCCAATGAAGCCAATAAATAACTTAAGCAAGAGTGCGCGGAGATGAAACTAGTTGTGTGTGCGGCCAGTTGTTTAGGGTCAAGCCGACTGGATTGGGATGATTTGCTGTTTCAATTAATTGTATAATTGTTCATTATTTAAACTTGTCATGGTTGAAATGTCGAGTTCAAAGGCAAGGAATTGGCATTTATACAGTACTGTGCAAAATTCCATTTGAGACTTGCT